TGACACACTCTCATTACCCCAGTCACTGAATCAATCCATCTCATCGATGGTCTTCCTCTCTATCCCTGTCACTCTACCCTTCCAAGTGTGATGTTCTTTTCCAAGTACTGTCCTTCCTTGCAATATGCCCATAGTATGTTAGATGAAGCTTCAGAATCTTTGCCTCCAAGGAGCAGCCTGATTTCACCCTCTTTAGGAAAAACCTATTTGTTCTCCTGGCAATCCATGGTATATTTAACACTCTTTTCCAGCACCACAGCTCAAAGGCATCATTTAAATATGAGGGTCAGGGTATTAAACAAAGATAGACCTGACCTGAAACTGGATCCCATCCTCACCCATCAGTTCTCCTTGACATCTTTATCTGTATTAAATGCTCATGACACTGAGAAAAATGTTACAATATTTATAAGATTCTTTAAACTTAAATTAGGCTGATTTTCAAGCTTGTGTTTTTCCTTCATTATAAATTATTAAAGAGTGGCACATACTTAAATACTTTTAAAATTGCATATTTCAAATTTCAAAGGATGGGGAAATCATTTCAAACAGCATAATAATTACAGGAAGAAATTCATAAACATATGTCCTAGAATGTGTACTTGTTATTTATAGGAATGCAATTCAGCATCTTAAAATTCACTGTATTCAACTCAAGGTTTTATCTGATTTGGGGAGCTAGCTGGAGGTTCACATCTTTTCTTCATGCTTGCCATTGATGCTTTTATTTTGCATTATTAATAAAGATGTATAAACTATGGATGATCTCCCTTCCCCCTGAGTTTGCTTTATTTCTTCAAATTTTCTTTTTGTAAGAGTTGACCTGGATGTGTTTATTTCCACCATGAAAATGCAAATACCTCATTAAGTAGGATACTACCACATTAGTAACTTTTTCTTTGTACTTGCAATAGGTTTTTATCAATCCAGAAGACTGTGCACACTTAGGCAAAGGAGAAAATGCCAAGAAATATCTTCGGACAGATGACTCAGTGGAACGGGTGCGAAGGTAAACCATTGTCTCCTGAGTTAATTAACTATTGTAAAAATTTTGATCAAACAGTATTGGAATTTAGGAAATGAAGAACGTAAAGGCAATCAGCTGGCCAATTTCATAGAACATTTAGAGATAAATTAGGGATCTGGAAGTCTCTCAGTTTCATTTTAGTTATGGTGTTACCAATTTTGCAATACTTCTATATTCTCATTGTTTGAGTTAATGATTATATATAGATGCATCACTATAATGGAAGGCAGAGGGTATGACAGGGGAAGTAGCTTCTTAAAATCTCATTTTTATCAGAAATCTATCTATTGGTAATAGAAGATTAGCACTCCTTTTAAAGGGCTAGTGGACTGAATAGTTTTGCATAGAATTCAGAATATGAAAGTTGACATACTTTGAAGAAATAACTATCCTGTGAAGATACAGTGGTTAATGTTTTGAGAATTCAATGAAGAGTGAAAAGCAATAAGCAAGAAATGCCATCTTAATAGTCTCAAAATTGTGTAATTAATATATTTGTAAGTACAATGAATTCTGGTTCTAGAGGTACAGTTTGTAATCATTCTCATAGACCTGTAAATTACAAAGTTTTTTAATAATGATACTTCTTTAACCAAGGCATTGTTCAAAGTCCTACACCATTTTCTCACTTAATATTTTCTGATGCCCACCTCCAGTAGACTTTGGGCACATTTCAATGCTGTAGAAGAGTATAGAATATCTCCTGGACTGTCAAAAGAACAAACAGATGTGTTTTGGAGAAAGTCCAGCCAGAATGCTCTTTGAAGGCAAGGGGATTAAAGCTCATTTCACATATTTTGGGCATGTTGCTAGGAGAGACTATTACTTGGAAAGGGACATTGTGCATGGAAAAGTGGAGCGTTGGCTAAAGAGGAAGACCCTTAATGAGATGGATTGACACAGTGACTGCAGTAATGGGTTTGAGTATGTCAGAGATTGTGAAAATGGCACAGGATAGGACAGGATTCAGATCTGTTCAGAGTGTCACTATGAGTCATACTTGACTCAGTGACACTTAACAACAATGTGATATAAAAATAAAGATCAGTGAAGAGTTTTTCTAGTTCTTTTTAAATATAGAGGAATTTCATTTTGTGGTGAAGAGTTAAGGTAGAAAAGAAATAAAGATTGTCTTTGGATATATATCCACACGTTGGTGAATATGAAAAAATAAGTTGTGAAATAGAGACAGAAAAATGTTACTCCTATAATTTAGGTATGATATTTATTATCCTTTGCCTGTTTTTTAAAGTAGTTTATCATATGATTTTATCGTTAAGAAAAACATAACAGAATGTATGCCAATTTGACCCTTCCATATGTACAATCCAGTGAGCTTAATTTTTCATGTTGAGCAATTATCTCACCTTCCTTTTCCAAATTCTTCCTCTTTGATTAGTACAAACTACTGTCTAGGTTTCCTGTCTTTCAAGTTCCTATTGTCAGTTTGAAGGAGTTCTTAGAGTAATCTTAAGGCAAATATTCTTTTACAAATTAAGCTGAACTCAAAAGAGTTTAGGGCAGTAGTTTCAGGGATTCATTTAGACTTTATGACTCTAGAAAATCTGGATTCTATGAGAATTTGAAATTCTGTTGTGCATTTTCTCCCTTTTGTCAGGATTCTTCGAAAAAAATCTCTGAAAACGTTTGTCAGTAATAGTAGCTGGGTATCATCCAGCTCTTCTGGTCTCATGACAAAGGAGGCAGTTGCTCGTGGAGATAATTTGCTACCCATTAAATTTCTTCCACCTCATCCTAACTCCCCATTTTTCTGCTGTTGCTCAAAGTATTCAAGATCAATTTCTAGGGAGTTCTGGTTGCCTAATGGCAAGAAGATGCACTCCAATCCCAGAGGTATGCAGTTCAAATCCACCAGATATTATGCTAGAGAAGGAGGGGCAATCTCCTCCTGTACCAGCGATTTGACAGTACCCACAAAAAATAATAAAAGAAAAACATTTTTTTGGAAATTTCTTAAAAAAAAAAAAAAGATGATCAACTATTGTGCCTTGGATGGCTATGCTCAAGGTTTTAAGACCCCAGACCCTATGCAGCTGCTTGGAGTTAAGCAGAAGCAGTAATCATAATATTAGGCCAATTAACTAGGATGTCCCATTAAACCATTACCATACACCTCCAAACCTAGGAACTAAATCCCATAAGGTATTAGGTATACATTATGTTAATCAGGTCCTGGTACTCAGAAAGTTGTCCAGGACTTGAAAGTGGTTAAAGTGAGACGTTCTGTGCATTCAAATCTTCTTGATATATTCCCGTTCAAAACTATCTTTTGTAAGACTGGAAAGATGATCCAAATACACTTGACATGTGAATGCTTTACAGAAGACATTTTAGGTTTCGAGTTTATATTCTGCTCCCCACTCTTTGTAGCCCTTCACTCTGTACACATAAGGTTGTACTTCTAAGAAGAAAAGGCCATTATCTAAGGTAATCCTTTAATCTGATGAGCAGCAAATTTATTTTATTAAGAATTGATGGACCTCTCCTCGGGAGGGTCAGACCTTGAGGAGCTGCGATTCTGTGCACATCGCCCCCTGGTGGTCAGGCACTGGCTTTTCAGTGAGACGTGGGAGGATGAAGCCCAAGTGTTTTCTTTGTCAGCTCCACCTATTTTCTTGAGATTTTGTTGACCCACCTCAAACATACCTAATAAAAATTTAGTTTTGGAGATGCTTTTATCCAGAATCCTCCTTTCTGTTTTTAACATGGATTTTCTCCTCTCTTTGTTTAATTCATGTGTAAGTCAATGTGTAATTGCAGAACTGTTAGTGTTAACATATTCCCAGTGGTAGGGACTGCGGGGGTTATAAGTGAAGTGAAAGATAATACTTTCCGATATGCATGCATCATCGGATAAATTAGTAAATAGGTACAGAAGAATTAGTCAAAACCAAAATAACATGTATTGAGATGTCAAGATAATGGGCTTTAAGTTAGTTGAAGAATTAATATATATTTATTTACTTAGTTCATTCTTACCTTATTCTGTAGAGAATCAAAATCACATCTGTTCAGCACAACAAGATAAAAAGGAAGGAACAGGGCAGCTAGAGAAATAGACATAAAAGAAGTAAGACCATTTTTAGTGTTTAGGGAGAGGAGCCATTTAGAATATGCACTCCTCAAAGGTAGAAAATACCCCTTCACTGGGCATACTCAGTGGAAGCTCAACAACACTCCCTGTGGGTTCTGTAAAACAATTCATGTATATGTGGATGAGGGGCTCAACTACACGGATAACTTCTCTTCTGGCCTAAACAAACTTTAATTAAGATATTACTGTGCATGGATCACTGTTAATTCTTTTATTAGGAGACTGTAAATGAACTTTAAGAGTGAGTTTCTGCCTCTGAGATGTTTATAAGTTTCTAAAAGTAAAACCAACAAGCATGTGGTCATTAGAGAATGTTATACCCAATGTCCCATTAGATGACATGTTGTGGGACATTGGGTGTAAGTATCCTTGAGGAGTTAGGATTATTTAGTGAAGAAAGCACTGGAAAGATATTAGGATGTAGGCATGATGAAGATGAGGGGAATTGTCATGGCAATTTGGGGCAATTCTGAGTGATGTTTGGACACATTGGGGGCATCTAAGTCTGAGAGGATGGTGGCAGGAGAAGTCTACTATGAAGCTCCTTTTGTAGGAGACAATTATCTGTCCAAAAGAGGAAGAATAGGAACACAGAATGATGGTGGGAAGAAAGCATAGGCCCGGATTTGGAATGGTCACACGTGAAGACTGGGAAGAGATTTGGCATCACATGAAGGAAGCCACTCTGCTTGGGCTGTCTCTGAACAGAGGAGAGTGTTCCAGTGATCTGGACTACACAGTTGCTCACCCAGGAAGAGCCGGTTAAGTGTGTGCCTGGGACAGGATCTAAAAAGAAGAACATTTAAAAAGGCATAAATTAGACTGGGGTGTGAGATTCTGTTAAAAATAAGCCTTTCTAGGAGAATGTTATCTTTGAGAACTTTCTGAAGCTGAGGAAAAGGAAAAAGTATTGAAAAGGGGAAGGAAAATAAAGGTGAAAAAGGAAATAATGTAAAGTCAAAAAGAGCTCTGACCCAGAGCTTTCTTTACTCCACCCGACCTATATTGTCCTTTCGCTCTTTATCCTCGATTTTTACTCCCCTGTTTATCACTGCATTCTCTTTCTCAGTTGTTGGACAAAGTCTTACCAACTGACATGGCTTCCTACAGGGTCTCTCTGATAATTTCTAAACTTTTCTGTGTCTTTTGAAGTGTTTGAAGGAGAATACTTGCATGTCCAAAATTGGTGGTAGAAATATTTGCTCTTCCTCCAGTAGGAGATTCAGAGGACCAAAACAAATACACTTGGTGCAAATTTATGAAGTGATTATTTCTTTAGTATTATAATCAATGATTTTGTTGTTCATTCTTTCACACCTTCCTCTGCTCTACTGGGTCTGTTTCATTAAAGGGAAGACACAGGAACAGTCACTCCTTCCTGTCTCTGCTTTTAGTCAGTCTTTAATTGAACCCTTTCACACACTCACATAGGCTACCAACAACAATCCAAACTCCTGCTATCAAGTCAGTGCTTAATCATAGCAACCCTACAAGACAGAATTGTACTGCCCACAGGGGCTCTGAGGCTGTACACCTCTACAGAAGCCTCATCTTTCTGCAGCAGATTGAATGGAGGGTTTCACTTGCCAACCTTTCATTTAGCAGGCAAAGACTATAATCATGGTGCCTCCAGGATTCCTTGCATCTACGCTCCTGACATCTATTGCCTATTTTGTTGTCATTGTTAAGCAACCTGAAGGATAATCTATAAAAAAATAAAAGAAAGGAAGGAAGGATAATGGTGATTTCTGAACAATAATAAATAATTATTTCCTGCTTAAAGGAAAGAAAAGAACATAAGCTAAACATTTTCATTTTAAGTATTTAAATAGAGCTGATAAACTCTATCACAATCTCCATTTCTAACTGTGATTAAAACTTTAAAATCTCAATGTCATTGAGTCAGAAATGAATCCAGCTGATTGGATTCCAAGGCTATAAATGACACGGGAGCTGATTAGCCATCTAATCTAAATTGAGCATTTATTTAAATTCCATATAAGTATTCTGAGATTTTAGATTTTAAAATTCAATATTTTTAAAAACTTGAAGTTATTAATAAATGCTTCGTGTATTCAGAATCCATTTCCTAAACAACATGTCTCTGGAAACTCAATGAACTTTGATAAATGACAATAGTTATAGAAAGGCTTCAGGCCTTTTGTTTATAGGGTTGGCAATCAACAACAACATTCAGAATCCTATTTAACAAAACCTTAGGCACCAGGAAGTGAGGTATCTCACCATATTTTCTTTGATTCTGTGAAATTCGAAGCCCAATTATAGCTAACCCTCCAGTGGGTTTTCAGAGGCTGTAAGTTGCATAGGAGGAGATTGCCCATCTTTTTCCTATGGAGTGGCCAGTGGTTTGAACCACCTGCCTTGGGACTGATAGCACAACTCCCTACCCATCAGGCTACCAGAGCTCACTTGTCTATATATTGCTTCTTACTTTTGTACATATATTTTACTTCTGCCTTCATCGTTATTAACTGATTCCTTTTGGGATTTGAGAGCAGGCTGTCTGTTATTTGGATGTTGAGAGCATGCTATTATTCTTGATAGGCATTTCACATCTTAATAGTCCTTTCAATCAAGCTGAGCAAATAATTAAAGAAGCTGGACTCAGTGAAGAAAAATGTGAGATCAGGATCAGAGGAAGACTCATCAGCAATGTGTGTTATGCAGATGACATTACTTTGTCAACTGTGTAAGTAAGGAGGACTTGAAAAGCTTGCTACAGAAGATCAAAGACTACAACCTTCAATATAGATTACCTTCCGACATCAAGAAGAACAAAATCCTCACCACTGGACCTATAAACAATATCATGATAAATGTATCATGTAAATGGAGAATATATTGTTGTCAACAATTTCGTCTTATTTTCATCCACAGTCAATACACTTGATACCAGCAGTCAGTAGATCAGGAGATGTATTGCTTTGGGAAAGTCCTTTTTCATGGACATCTCCAAATTAGAGGAGTAATAATGTCATTTTGAAGACTAAGGTTCACCTGATTCAAGCCATGGTCTTTCCATCACTTGATGTGCACCTGAGGACTAGATAATGAATAAGGATGACGGAAGAATTGAAGCCTTTGAGCTGGGATGTTGAAGAAGGGTATGGAATATTGTACGGACTGCCAAAAGAACAAACATATATGTCTTAGAGAAAGTGGCAGCCAGAAGGCTCTTTGAAAGCAGAAATGACAAAGCTTCATCTCTCACACTTCAGGCATATTGCTTGGAGAGATTACTCTTTGGAGAAGAACACCATGCTTGGAAAGGTGGAGGGTTAGAGAAAGAGGAAGACCCTTGATGAAATCGATCGACACAGTCACTGCAGCAGTAGATTCAAGTGTATCAGAGATGATGAGGAAGGCACAGGATAGGACATGGTTCAGATCAGACCCATCGTTCATAGGGTTGCTATGAGTCATACTTGATGGTACCTAATAACAACAACAACAACAACAATATCCTCCTTGCATGGGTAAATGGGCAAAGAATTCCCTAAAGGTCATGTGAAGGGAGAGTTAGGAAAGATCATAAACACAAAGATTTTCTTCTTTGGGGGAAAAGATGGGTTTTTATTTTTTTTTTCCATTTTGATTTTTTTTGTTGTTTTAAGAATCTTAAATGGAACTTGAGGAAGTATTTAATCTCTAATAAAATGATGAAAGTTTCGTTACACAGATGCAGTATTGATATTCTACAAACTGAAAAATGAGTTCTTTTATGGTGAGATATACTAAAAATAAACAAAAATAATGAGATATTCTAAATAAAAATAAAGTGGATAAGGAAACAAGGCAATTTGACAGTGGTAAAAAGACTCTTAGATTGCAAATGTGAGATCCAGTAACGCTTGCGCTTGGTTTTAGAGAAGGAAATACAAGTATTTCTACTGATTTTGAAATTAATATCTATAATCGTTCTTCTTCCCCTGCAGAGCCCATCTGAATGATCTTGAGAACATTGTGCCATTTCTCGGCATTGGCCTCCTGTATGCACTGAGTGGTCCAAGCCTCTCTACTGCCCTCCTACACTTCAGACTCTTTGTTGGAGCACGGATCTACCACACAATTGCGTATTTGTTTGCCTTTCGCCAGCCAAACCGAGGTTTGGCTTTCTTTGTTGGATATGGAGTTACATTTTCAATGGCTTTTAGTTTGCTGAGAAATAAATTGTACTTGTAAGGAGAGTCATATAACTCAACATCTATTTGATTTTTTTGTTAAGAGTTCTATAGTTTCCGTTTATAATGAATTATGTCTTAGGTTTTCAGAGAGGGTAGGATTTAAGTATTTGGAAGAGCCCATTTGGAATATTAGCACCCAGCAATGTCCCTCTTTCATTCTTGTTTTGTGTTTACACTACAAAGTTACTGGGCTTAAGTCTTTTGCCTTATATTTAACATATTTTGTCATACATTTTGATTATGTTGTGATTTTTAACTTTCACTGATGGTTTCCTATTTTTAATCAATAAAAATGATAATTACCTGTATGCTAAGCTGCGAGTGAACTTTGTGCAATAAGTGACTAACTGTGGATGGCATGTTCACAGTATAGAACACATAGAATGCACTATCATGATTACTTAGGATGTGATGTTTGTGTTCTTATTTCTGCCACATAGTACTCTTGGAAAGCAGGGATTGAGTTGATTTTTATATATACAATTCTGCTTCTGTATGTAGACAGTGCATGCATTCACCAATGCAGTCTTCTATCACTGGTCATAACAATTATGGATGCTAAGTGAAGAGATAACCCTGTTTTTTCTTCAGATTTTATTGTTTCTATCTATTCTTAAATCTGTTTTTCATTGACTATGCAAAGGCATTTAACAGTGTGGATCACAACAAACTGTGGCTAATTCTGAGAAGAATCGGAATCCCAGAGCACTTTATCATGCTTATGTGAAACATACTTGTACCAGAAGGCAGTCGTCAGAAGTTGTCAGAGCAAGGAAACACTGCATGGTTCAAAATTGTGAAGGGTATACTCCAGGGATGTGTGTCCTACCTCTGTACCTTTTCAATCTATGTGCAGAACAGATAATCCAGGGGGCTGGGGACTATGAGGAGAAATATATTAACAGGATTGGAGGAAGACTCATCAACAGTCTACATTATGCAGATGACACGACCCTGCTTGCTGAAACTGAAGAAGACCTGTAGTACTTGCTACAGGTCAAGGGCTGCAGCCTTCAATATGGATTGAAGCTCAACATCAAGAAAACAAAGATTCTCACCAGTAGGCCAATTGGCAGCATCATGATAGATGGTGAAGAGACTGAGATTGTTAACAGCTTCAGTTTGCTTGGCACCACAATAAAGACTCTTGGTACCAGCAGCCAGGAAGTTTAAAGATGAATCACATTGGTAAAGTCTGTTGACAGAGACCTCTCCAAAGTACTGAAGAGCAAGGATGTCAGTCTGGAGACTAAGGTGTGCCTGATCCAGGCCATGTTGTTGTTGATTGCCATCAGGTAGAGCACGACTCATAGTGACCCAATGAACAAAAGGCCTGAAGCCTTTCTATAACTATCATAATTTTCCAAGTTCATAGAATTTTCAGAGGCATGTGGTTTAGGAATTGGATACCACTCCTGCTTCTAAACCTGTCTTAAACTGGGAGCTCTACCAAACACTGTCCACCATGGGCAGCCATTAGATTCAGGCCATAGTCTTTGCAATCACTTGCAGTGCTTCAGAAAGCTGGACAATATCTAGGGATGATAGAAGGAGAATTGGTGCCTTTGAGCTGTGGTGCTGGCGCAGAGTATTACAGTGGACTGGTAAGAGAACAAACAAGTTCATCTTAGAGAGGGTGAGACCAGGCTGCTTCTTGGAGGCGTGGATTTTGAGGCTTTGTCTGACATAATTTGGACATGTTGCAAGGCGGGATCAGTCCTTGGAGAGGGACATCATGCTTGGGAGGGTTGCTCTGTTCCTCCACCCTTCCAAGTATGATGTCCCTCTCCAAGGACTGATCCCTCCTTGTAACATGCCCATAGTATGTCAGATGCAGTTTCAAAATCCTTGCCTCCAAGAGACATCCTGTTTTCACCCTTTCCCGGATGGACTTATTTGTTCTCTTAGGAGTCAATGCTGCATTCAGTACTCTTCTCCAGCACCACAACTCAAAAGCATCAATTCTTCCATCATTCTTAGTCATTGTCCAACTCTCTAAAGCATAGCAAGTAATTGCAAAGACTATGGCCTGGACCATGCACATGTGCTCTTCAGTACTTTGGAGAGGTCCCTGACAGCAGACTTTCCCAGTGTTGCCTGCTGGTGCCACCAAGAGTACTGATTGTGGAGGCAAGCAAACTGAAGCTATTAACAATCTCAGTCTCTGTTTTCTTGATGTTGAGCTTCAATCCATATTGAAGGCTGTAGTCCTTAATCTTGTGCACCAAATGTCAGGTCCTTTTTGGTTTCAGCAAGGAAGGTTGTATCATCTGCATCTAAGCAGAGCTAACAGCTAAACAGAGTTCTCTTCATGTCAGTGATTCTAAGGTCCAAAGTTTTTCCATGTACAGAGACATATGTGAAGTTTGTGTTGCTCCAAGTAGTAAAGCTTAAGGGGAGAGATACCCAAAGTTAAAGAACCCTGTATGGGTGCTGGGAGTCATTCACCTGTTCTTTATAAAATTGCACCCATACACGTGCATGCATGCACACACACAGCTGGATTTGTTTTGGTTTTCAGTTGAGTATCTACATTACCCTGACACTTCATGGAAGCAGATGGTGGGAAGTAAGACCATTTGCCTTGGTAATCTCTAAAATCCTTTTAGAAACAGTCACACAAAAATCCTCTGATCATCTACCCCCTGCCAGCCTGAAATGTCAGCCCTGTGGGATGCTGATAGGTATTCCTGCTATCAGCAGAAGCAGCACCCCTACATTTGTATCTTTCAAAGTACTTTATTCACCATATATTCCATGTAAACGGTGGGATTTGACAAGGAGTTGTCGAAGGCAGACTACTGGGAAGGGGCTGTGTTGGGTTTGATTTGGCACCAATCACTCATCCTTGACAGCTCCAGTTTAAGGTGGTGGATGAACTATAGGACCTGTGAACCTCCTCAGTCAGCAAGCAAAGGCCTTAAGTCACATTTACTTCAGAAAACCCTAACAGTTTTGCATAAAATCAGAACAGGGCTGTGTGCAAGAGTGGGCCATTGGGGTTAGTTCTTTTGACTGGACTTTTGGAAAATATGAAACAGGAAAATAATCAGCTCTGATGCTCCACAACGATACCCGCATTAACAACTTCAAGAAAGTGACCAAGAGTTTAAGACAGTGCCATGACTTTTTTAAATTGTTTTCAAATTTTTTAAAATTTTATTGTTTATGTATACCATCAAATCAGATCTGACTGGTGCAGGAGGAGATTGTTCCTCCTTCTCCAGCAGAGCATCTGGGGGATTTGAACCACACACCTCTGGATTGCAGTGCAGCTTCTTGACACTAGGTCACCAGAGCTTGCTAGTGTCATGACTTTTAATAGCTTAAAAACAAAGCTAGGAACTGTTGGTGAATTTGAGACTGCCTAAAATCTTTCATCTTTTAGCCTAGGTCATGCAAATCTCTATATAAATAAAACCATCCCCAAAGAAAAGTGAAAGATTGAAGTAGTTTGATACAGTGATGAGAATGCTTGATTTGGAGCTAGTCTGGCTGTTTGAGACAATGACCAAAGTATCTAGGTGTGATAAAACTCCATATTTCATTCTAGGCTCCCTGTTGTTGGGTACCATCAAGTCAGAACCAACCCATAGCTGACCCTCCCGTGGGTTTTCAGAGATTGCCCATCTTTTCCCTGCTGGAGTAACTGGAAGATTCAAACCACTGTCTTAGGGTTGACAGTGCGATTTCTTATCACTAGGCTCACAGTGCCCCCTTCTAAGTTCCCTGTTGTGTACCATCAAGTTGGAACCCACCCATGGCTGACCCTCCTGCAGGATTTCAGAGACTATCACACAAGAGGAGATTGTCATTCATCCTTATCCTGCAGAGTAGCCAACTGGTGAGTTCAAACCACATGACTTTGGGATTGCGGGGCAGTTTCTTACCACTAGGCCAGTAGTGAATGCATTTGCCTGCTGTTCCAATTGTTTCTGGTTTAGCATCTTAGAAGAAAGGCTTAGTGATGGACTTCTAAAAACCAGTCACTGAAAACCTGTGGAACACAATTCTCTGACACACATGGGCTTGCCATGAATTAAAATGGAGTCTGTGGCAACTGGTTTTGGAGTTACGCATTCTAAAATAGGAAAATGAAATCTGTTGCCACAATAATCCTGCATAGCTAGTCACCTCATAACTCAGATTTAAAACAATAAACATGTATTTAGCACATGGTTCTACAGATTTTAGCTGATCTCAACTGGCTTTATTTATGTCTGCTGTCAGTTACTGGTTGCCAAAGTAATCCACTGAACATGTGCCTGGGTTACTTTACAGGCCTGGGAATTGACTAGAGTTAGTCTGATTCAGGATGTCCTCAGCTAGAATTACTGGAACAATTCAACTCGACTACCCCTGTCTCATTCTCCAGTACAAGAGTAAAAAATTATGACTTCTGGACCAAATCCAGTCCCTTGGCTGTTTTAATAAATAACATTTTGTAGCAACATAACTGGACTCATTTGTTGACGTACATATTTAAATTTTGTTGCTGTTGTTTAAAATGTTGTTATGTGCCATTGAGTCTCTTGTGACTCCTAACAACCCTGAATCTGAACCTTGCTCAATCCTGTGCCAACCTTATTGTTTCTGACACACCTACCCTATTACTCCAGCCACTGAATCAAACCATCTTGTTAAGGGTCTTCCCCTCCTGGGCTGTCCCTCCACCCTCCCAAGCATGATGTCCCTCTGCAAGGACTGGTCCCACCTTGCAACATGCCCGCTTCAGAATCCTTGTTTCCAAGGAGCAGCCTGGTTTTACCCTCTCTAGGACAAACTTGTATTTTCTTCTAGCAAAAATACATTAATTCAACTATATATATATATATATTTACGATTCTGACGTTTATTACATTCTCGAAGTTGGCCAAGCATTCTCATCTTTTCCAAATTATTCCTCCACTATTGACATAAATGCACTGTCCCCTAAGCATCCTGTCCAACCTTTAGAATTGCTCTTGCCAGTTTGATCCCGTAGAGATAGATCCTTAA